GGGCAGTGTCAGGGGCTGCAGGAATTGGGGAGGGGGCAGCGTCAGTGGCACAGTCACGGGGGAGCAAGTGGTAGATGGGCAGCCACTGTGGGGGAAGGTGCAGGGGTGCACAGCGGGAAAGGGGGCAGGGCTCAGCCCACTTGAGTCCCCCACTGCCTGATACCCTATTACCTTTCCTGTCACTTGTCCCCCTACAATGGCTTGGCCTGCAGTAATACATTTTCCATGCATAGAATCTAATTATTAGTGGATCATTTTAAATTCAAAATTGTCCTGGATTCAGGTAAATATGGTATGCTAACCACTTAGGGAGCTAGTATCCACAACTTTTCCCACACTTGCACACAACAGTAACAGAAGATCAAATTAATCCCTGGTGTAATTTCAAAGGTCAGGGATGTGTATATGGGTAGTCAAAAGCTGTGAGGAAATGGGCTAAAAATGGCATTGACTTCTAGGGAAGATGAAGGAGTTAATTTTTTGGAGGAAGGGGAATTTAATGTGCTTAAGTTAAAACAATAGCTAGAGACCAAGAAACAAATGTGATTTGGAAGAGATGTAGCATCACCCTGATTACTTTTCTCAAAGGTTATATCTTGTCTTTTTCAGAATGTTCCTCATATTTGTTTGCAAAATGTCTAAAATGGGTTTCAGCAACATTTTTTTGTGGTAGGCTGGAATGACCCAGCTCAGGTCTGAGGCAGGCTAGTGCTAGGACCTGGCCTGGCTGGTGCTGCATCTCCTCACTGCCAGGCAGTGGCATGGGTGAAGCACCCTGGCACCTGGCTGTGGTGTGTTCAAAGCCCCAGCCACCAATGCCACCCAAGGCCATGGCTCTGCAAACCAGCTCCAATGACTCTGTGGGCTGTAAGTGGCCAAAATTTGGTCTAGAAGATCTGGGACACTACTGTAATATAAATAATATATGATCTGGGCCTGTAATATAAATAATGACTAGCACTAATAATAATTAATAGCTATTTTGTAATGATGAAAAGTCTGCTGACCTGGTTGAAAAGCCCATCTTAAAATAAAGAGTATCAAGGGGCACTTTGCTGATTACACGGGCCATTCTGCTGTGACACCAAGTAAATAAAAGGGCTCTTTATTTTACATACTTTCATATTCCCTGCATGTGTTAGTAGTGTTCAAGTGCTGAAGTTCATGATGGTCAAGGAATTACATGAGACAAGGATTTTTGTGTGTGATATCTTTTACTGGACCAACTGCTTGGTTGGGATAGACTTAAACAAGCTTTCAAATGCAAAGCATTCTTCATCAGGTCTGAAGGAAGGATGGACACTAAGAACCAAGGACACGAGTACTGATTTTATGGCAAACTAGAATTGACCCGATTCCTGAAAATCTACCTTCACACTATGGGTGATAATGACCCGCTTCTCTTTTGAAAGGTTTTGATCTCCCAACAATCAAGCCATCTTTTTTTCTGTTGTTTATCTGCTACCTCAGCTTTTTTTTCTTCTCCAACAGCCTTCCACACTGTTTTTAATCATCACAGTGCCTGCTTCTTCCTTCAGACCTTATGAAGCACATTTTGCATTTGAAAGCTTAAGAGTATCCCAACCATGTGGCTGGTCCAATAAAAGATATCACCTGTAAAAATCCTTGCCTTTCACATTCTCTGCATGTCATATTATTTACTCCGAGACTGTTTCTCCTGTTCTACCTGTTGCTTAGTGATGGGAATTGTTTCCTCTCATTGTTCATTCTGCCAGGCAGAGACTTATGCACACTGCTGGTCTCAATCAGCTGGAATCTCTATTCTTGCCTACATTTTCAAGGTCTCAGTCAGTTTCCATCTCCCTCTTCCCATCACTTCAGCAGGTGTTATTATAATGACACTTTACTTCAGAGATGAGAAATCAGGACAGTATTTTTTTCACATACGACCCAGCTGAGTAAAGAATGGCCAAGCAGCCAATACTTCCAGTCACCCCTGAAGCATACAGAAATTCAGTCCTGGCTTGAAATAACATACATATAATCATTCTGACCCTATGGTATTGCTTTTGTTATTGTCCTCCCCCTTACATTACAAAAAAACAAGGCATTATTAAATATTGAAAGGATTACTGAATTTTGTATTCTACTTGGAGCTAGTAAAACTATCCAGAGACAAATTAGTTGAATTTTTATTGCATGCTTTACTTTGGATGAAGAGAAGCATCTACTTACTTTAAACTGTATCATGTATCCTGGTTGTATAATGAGTTCCCTGGAGGACAGGATATTGTGTGTCTTGTCCTTTTTCTTATTTGGCCAGTAGAGGTGAAATGATGGGTTGCCACAGAACCCTGCAGTCCTGACTGCATTAGGGTAAAAACTCCAGTTTTCTTCATGGGAAGTGCCTTCTATTAACAAGAGTTAGACAAAATTACTGTAATGTCCCAAAAAACATGTAGGTGTAGCCTCACAGAATCCTTAAGTGTAGCCCCACAGTGATTTTAATGAAATAAGCTTTAAATAAGTAACCAGGAGGCCTTGCTCAAGGGTCATCCTCAGTCAGACAGTGCAACTATTTTTAAATACTAGTACTTTAAAAAGAAGGTATGATAAACATTTTCTGTTGAAATGAAATGATCAGAGGTACCCTATATTTATGTTTAGTTTTAAACCAAATTGTAGTGAAATAACTGATGCTAATAAAAATAATAATGACTAATTAATACTTAAAACTGATGTAGGTAATAAAATATATACCTTGCATTTGCTAGCTTAAAGAGAACATTTCACACACAGAAAAATGAAATAAATGTGCATTGAAAAGCTTTTTGTCACATTTATTTAGTTCAACATACTGTCTGTAAACTTCTGACTTTTGACAGTGACAGCACAACAGAATGTTTGCCACGTTCTTCCTTACCGTCATCAAATGTATCTACCAGTTGACTGGGATTGATCTCAGCTCCTCCAATGAGTATGTTATCTAGTGCCCACTGAGCACGATCTGGGCCTGAAACCACAATGCCACTGTTAATTACAAATGGCTGCCACCAGCGCAGGCGAGTTGTATTGGTTAGAGCATGTTCGGGGAGGAGTATGTAGTCATGCCTGACCAAGACGTATTTCTGATAATCCATCTCATGAAGTAAGGTCCAAGATATTCCTATAACAAAAGGAATTACGATTGTAAACAAACATAAGCTGACAAAAGATTAAAGGAACATAATTGGAAGTCACAAGATAATATCTGTGTTCTTTGAGTGGAAAACTCTTAACTTCTAATAGAAGTGGGCAACCTTTACTCACAATGGTAGTATTTCTAATGGCAGCATATTCTGTATGCATAAAGGTAGTGTGGCAGTGCACCTTTGGGTGTCTGCCACTTTAAGGCTGAGAGCAGGCAACCAGCAGGTACAGGCCAGCCCTGATGAGGTGGCCATTTTAAATACAGTCCCACAGGGCTGAGCTAGCAGTTTGCTGCAAGCAGCTGGGGATCAGCAACACCCGGCTGAGCTGCTGATGCTGCTGCTGTTCACACAACACTGTAAGGTAAGGGAGGAACTATTGGGGATGGCTGGAGGTTCCTAGGTGCCCCAGGGAGAAGGCTAGGGCTAGTAAAAGCAAGGCCAAGACTAGACATGAGGCAAACAGCTTGCAGGCCTACACAGGGGCCAGGCAAGCCCCTGATTTAAAACAGGTAGGGGTGAGGCCTGAGGCTCAGGTGAGCCCAGCTGAGAGGGAGCAGGTGAGCAGTGCAAGAGTCTAGAGTCAATGCTGGCACCAAGAGCAGGATGGTCAAAAGGGTTAGAGTGCCCACTGCGAGGGACGCCCAGAGCTAGGGGGCCTGGGGTTCTGACTGGCCTGGAGGTGGGCCAGGGCCTGAGTGGCTAAAGGTCCCAGGGGGGAGCCATGTCCAAGAGGGAAGGAGGTCTAGGGAGCTGACAGTCCTGCATAATGATGGGGATTGAGTCAATCTGGTATCCCATGATCATCTCCTAGAAAAACTGACCAACTGCAGCCTCAGCTACATGACAGTCCGCTGGCTGGGGAATAGGCTCCAAGGTCAGACCCAGAGAGTGGTACCTGACGGAAGTCAATCATCCTGGTGCGCCGTGACCAGTGGGGTCACCCAAGGTTCCATCCTTGGGCCTATACTTTTCAACATCTTCATTAATGATGTGGACATCAGTGTCAGAAGTGGACTGGCCAAGTTTGCTGATGACACCAAACTTTGGGGTAAAGTGTCCTCACCCAAGGACAGGATGGTGATCCAGGCTGACCTTGACAGACTCAGAAAGTGGGTGGATGTAAACCTGATGGTGTTCAACACCAAAAAATTCAAGGTTCTCCACCTTGGGAGGAAAAACCTGCAGCATGCTTATAGGCTTGGCAGTGCTATGCTTGCTAACATCATAGCCAAAAGGGACTTGGGGGTCATGATTGACCACAAGATGAACATAAACCACCAGTGTGATTTTGCAGCTGGCAAAGCAGGCAAAACTCTGGCTTGCATCCATAGATGCTTCTCTAGCAAATCCCAAGATGTCATCCTCCCTCTGCACTCAGCTTTGTTGAGGCCACAGCTGGAGTACTACATCCAATTCTGGGCTCCACAATTTAAAAAGGATGTGGAGAAGCTTGAGAGAGTCCAGAGGAGAGCCATGTGCATGATCAGAGGGCAGGAAAACAGGCCTTATGATGACAGGCTGAGAGCTATGGGACTCTTCAGCCTGGAAAAGCGCAGGTTCGACCTGGTAGCTTCCTATAAGTATATAAGGGGTGTACATCAGGATCTGGGGGAATGTTTGTTCACCAGAGCGCCCCAAATGGTCACAAACTCCTCCAAGACCATTTCAGGCAGGACATAAGGAAGAACTTCTTTACTGTCCGAGCCCCCAAGGCCTGGAACAGACTGCTGCCAGAGGTGGTGCAAGCACCTACTCTGGACTCCTTTAAGAGACATTTGGACATTTTTCTTGCTGGGATCGTTTGACCCCAGCTGACTTCCTGCCCCTGGGGCAGGGGGCTGGATTGCATGATCTTCCAAGATCCCTTCCAGCCCTAATGTCTATGAAATCTATGAAATGATTAGGAATGGTCTGGAGAGCTGGACCAGTGAGAGCCAGCCAGCAGCAGGACCAGAACTCCTAGCCCAGTACAGGATAAGACCAAGGCAGGTAGGCTGGCATTGGTTCTGGGTAAGACTGAAAACTGCACCCTGCTGGGGATGGGTGGTCTGGTGGGGCTGTCTGTGGTGTGACAGTCCCCCAGAAATGCCAGGCCAGTTACCACCCTGGTGAAAGGTGAGGAGGGGTGCCTTAAAATCCCAGTCCCCCTCATCTTAGTGGGTTACCCACACCCAGGGACAGGCATGGGGACCAGGTACGCCTTCAGGCACCTGAGCCCCACAGGGGTGTAAGACCCTGGAAGCCCCAGAGAAGGGAGTGAGTGTAGATGCTCCATAGAGGGGGCAAGTGTGTGGAGGCATCAGAGAGATGGGGATGAGTACTGAGGCCCAGGTAAGTCTTTGGAGACCTGAGGCCACAAGTGGGCCAAAGGCCGAGTGAGGCAGCATAGAGGGAGCCGCGAGTAGCAGGGGCAAGTCACTGGCCCACTGGGTCGGGTTACCCAGTGAGGGGCTAGGGTCAGAGTCAGCTCAGTGTTTGGTGAACTGCCTGGTTACTGTGCAGATGAGGGTCACAGGAGAGGCCCAAAAGGCTGTGCCAGGACTGGGTAAGGAGTGCAGAGATAAGCCTGATGGTCTACAGGAGCCACTCAAGGAAGCAGGGCAGAGTGAATGTGGCCCAGTAAGGGGCATGAGTGCAAGAGGTCCAGTGAGAGAGGGAGGAGCGATAGAGGCCCCAGTGAGAGGGAGGCACTATATATGAGGCCCAGAACAGGGCAGTATGAGTGAGGCCTAACAGTGTGCTGAGTTTGGTCCATCCTCAAGCCGGAGGACGGACCAAATAAAACAACTCAGGAATGACATCTGCGAGGCATGGGACAAGATAAGGGAAGGTCGGAGTCATGTACAGTGCCCCCTTGGCATCGGGACATTAAAATGGGCAGCCTCTTGCATTTTACACCAGTTTTGGGGAACAGCAAAGTTGTGGCAGGTGAGATGGAGCATACTGCCCTACTTGGACAGGCCGACACAAGACCTGGACCCAGGATGGCCCCATGTCACAGGTAGCAGGATGGGGTCCTTTTCTTCAGAAACACAGAAGAAAATTTTATGAGAGAAGACATACAAGTAAGAGACACAAATATCTTTCATAGTTGGAAATTATAGCTCTGAATAATAGATTCTATATTATTATTGGTCTCAGTCTAAATTGGCACAGTTAAGCATTTACTGTGTTTGAGTATAAAAAAAATATGTTCACATGCAACTAAAATATTTACTTGCCTCCATCAACTGAATAATCTAACAGAACTCCCTCCTTCCTGCATGTTGGTCTGTGACAGGTTGTCATGTTGTTTTCACTCCCAATTCTTCCCCAATACTGTAGAAATCTGAAGGGAAATGCAGTGATAGTTACACACAGAATACTATATATCCAAACAATATAGTAGATTCTTTCTTACTTGATCGATTTGTTTACTGTCAAGAAATATATTGGCAATGTTCATTATACCAAAAAGTTTTATTAAACAAAACTGATGTTTACTTAGGACAAGATAGGTTTTTAGTGAATCTTGCAGAACAGGCCTCTATAAATGCAAATAGGCCACTATGGGCACAGCACATTCATCTGTGTTTGAAATTAAGCAAGGAAATGAACTTAATGAAAATCAGAAGTAATTCCAGTAAAACATAAAAAGGGAAAGATGAGCTACATACTAAAACAAATTCTGCATGTAATTCAGCAGAATTAGTGACACTTTAAAGCAGGAGGGTGAGGAAAACAATAATATTAGTATGCTTTGTCTCCTTCTGTATTTTATAGGCTATATTCTTAGCTGATATAAATTGGCATCAGGGTTCTAATGGAAGTATGCTACTTACAGTGGTTGAAGATCTGGCCTTATAAGTATGCAAAAGTTGTGTATTTGATATATCTAGTTTATGTATATTAAACAAATGTGATACAATCTTTTATACGAGTGAATAAAAGGTTGTATTTCACAGCTGTCTCATCACTGGGCAATTCTATTTTGTTGCAATAAATATACAGATGGGAAATACAGATTTTTAAAGGGAAAGAAAAAGCCACAGGAACATTTTAAGGCCCAATTCTGTAGTCACTTTAAGCACATTATTTTCCATATGTTCCCTCATTTCAGTGGAGTTACTTACCCGAGAAAAGCCATTCACGTCTGTAAATGTTGGCAGGACATGGCATTTTGTTACAAATTACCACAGAGACTTGTTCCTTTAACAGTCTGGCAAATCTCATGCTTTTCTTTCCCCATGGCCTTCAGTGAAGAGAGGCCGTAAGAGGAAATTCCCTTGGCCATTTTTTAAATGTTAATGCTTCAGCTTCACTTAGAAAAATCTGTATGATATACTCAAATTAGCTCCTGTCTACACCACTCTCATGCTAAGGAAGAAGTCTCTAGGGGTTTTTTTAATAGCTGTTTCTTCAATGTAGTGCATGCCCTACCCAGAACTCACATGATACTTGGTTAAATCCAATTCTCCTATAGCCGAACATAAATAAACACAATTGGCATTTTTTAAGTAAATACTTTTGTTTACTTATTTTTTGAAAACCTTTTGGGTGTTTGTGAGATGTGCTGCTGTGACCCTCTCAAATACTGTCAATATATAGAATGGGCACAGCACAGGCACATACACATTTTTTCCCTCATGCCCACTTAGTTCTTCACCTCTTTGCTGAGACTGGCAGCCAGAGTACCGGCTGGTGTCAGTTGTGAAGTTGAGGTTGTAACACAGTTGTCACCAGCACTGCACTGCTCTTAAACTTTGTCTATAAGTTCTAAACTCTTTTGAGTAAGGACCTTTTCTTATCATATACCTACAAAGCAGCAAGATACTCCGCAAAAATAAATAATGACTCATTTCACAAATGTCAGTGAAAAAATTCCAGTTGATGGTAAAAATAAGAACCATTTGTCATTGTCTACCAGAGATGACTCTGAACTGTCGCTTAGAAGTGAAAAGTTCAGTATCATCATTCCCATAAGCTGCCTTATCTGTTACTGTTTATTTATATGTTTGTTACCAATCTGATCTCTATTATTATTATTATTAATGAAGCCCTCTGTTAGAACACATCAGCTATGTCAAATTCTAGCTGGTAACATGACATACTTGGCACCCCTCAGATCCAGGTCTTGTGTGACAGCTTGTCTTACTGTAGTGCCTCCAAAATACAGAGCTGTATCCTCTGCTAGAATTCCACATTCAGTACAAGCATTTCCACCTTCCAAGGACATCCATAAATCTGGTTTAATTTCTTCATTGTCAAAGCGTTCCTTCAGGAAAGTCTGTAAAAAAAGTATGTAGCATTTGAGCAACAACTAGAAGAATCATCCTGCTCTACAGCCTTTTTAGCTAACCCAGTTATAATTTACTTTTGAAGTATGTTTGAAATGTTCATAAAAATAGTAAAGTGATTTTTTTCCTCTCAGGAGCTAAGGTCTACTGCCTTTGTACAGACAGTAAATTTTATTTAAATTATATCACCTGATTGCATCCATCAGATGCAAGACCTAGACAGGTTAGACCAGTGGGCAGAAAACAACAGAATGCAGTTCAACAAGGAGAAATGCAAAGTGCTGCACCTAGGGAGGAAAAATGTCCAGCACACCTACAGCCTAGGGAATGACCTGCTGGGTGGCACGGAAGTGGAAAGGGATCTTGGAGTCCTAGTGGACTCTAAGATGAACATGAGTCGGCAGTGTGACGAAGCCATCAGAAAAGCCAATGGCACTTTATCATGCATCAGCAGATGCATGACGAATAGGTCCAAGGAGGTGATACTTCCCCTCTATCGGGCGCTGGTCAGACCGCAGTTGGAGTATTGCATGCAATTCTGGGCGCCGCAATTCAAGAGGGATGTGGATAACCTGGAGAGGGTCCAGAGAAGGGCCACTCGTATGGTTAAGGGCCTGCAGACCAAGCCCTACGAGGAGAGACTAGAGCAACTGGACCTTTTCAGCCTCTGCAAGAGAAGGTTGAGAGGCGACCTTGTGGCTGCCTATAAGTTCATCACGGGGGCACAGAAGGGAATTGGTGAGGATTTATTCACCAAGGCACCCCCGGGGGTTAAAAGAAATAATGGACACAAGCTAGCAGAGAGCAGATTTAGATTGGACATTAGGAAGAACTTCTTCACAGTTCGAGTGGCCAAGGTCTGGAACGGGCTTCCAAGGGAGGTGGTGGCTCTCCCCTACTCTGGGGGTCTTTAAAAGAAATGACTTAGTGCTAGATAACATCCTTCCCCCCCCCCCTTTTTTTTTTTTTGCAACCCCACAAAAAAAACCCTTGCACACACGCAAACAAGTCTAGTTATTCAGTGTGGGCATATGGATACAAACAAGGACATTAAACTGCAAGATATCTAGGAGCTATAACTATTATTTATTGTTGGTACTCTGGTTGTGTTCAGAGGCAAAATTAAGATTAGGGCTCCATTGGACTAGATGTCATACAAATTCATAGTAACATCCAGCCCAGCATATAAGGAGTGAAAAATGGAATGATGAAGACAACCCAGATGACCTCAGGGACACCATGATTGTGACAATCTTCAAGGCAGGAGACAAGAAGAACTGGAAATTATAGAGGGATTGCCTTGCTGTCCCACAGGAAAGATCATTGTGAGAACCCTCCTGAGTTGTCTCTTTCCACTTGCTGAAGAGCTCCTCTTGAAATCTCAGTGTGGGTTTAGGGCATCAAGAGGCACAACTGACATAATCTTCACAGCTTGCCAGCTGCAGGAAAAATGCTGGGAACAACATAAACCTCTCTATATGGCCTTCTCTGACATCACAAAAGCCTTTGACTCTTGTCAACCGAGAAATGCTGTGGAGAATCCTTCTGTAGTATGGATGCTAACTGAAATTCATCACCATTCTTTGCCTGCTCCATGACAGTATGCGAACAGTGGTTCTCAATAATGGATCCATCACAAATCCTTTTGACGTTACGATGGGAATTAAGTAAGGCTGTGTCATCACTCCAAACTCTTTTTGATGTTCCTTACCGTGATGTTACATCTGACTACCAACAAGCTTCCAGTTGGAGTGGACCTACACTACTGATTGGACAGTAAACAGTTTAATCTAAGCTGACTCAGAGTCAAAACCAAGACCACCTCAACCTCAATCATGAAGCTCCAATGTGCCCATAATGCTGTAATCTGTGCACACTTGGAAGCAGACGTTCAGGTAATTGTCAACGTCTTTACCGAGGCATACAAGAAAATGGAACTGACACTTAGCATTCAGAAGACTAAGGTCCTCCATCAACAAGCTCTTAATGAGTAGTCCACAGCTCTGGTAACAATTCAGATTCATGCTGATACTCCAGGGAATTCATGGTGAGACTCTGGAGAATGCTGAGTATTTTCCATACCACAAAGCCATCTCTCACAGAAGACTGACATTGATGAAGAAATCCAACATTGCCTCAAATGTACAAGTGCAGCTTTCTGATATCTGAGGAAATGTGACATCAGATCTAAAACCAAGCTCATGGTTTATCAAGCAGTTATGATCCCCACCTTACTGTATGGAGCTGAGATGTGGACAATGTGAAGGAGACACATCAAGTCATCGAAGAAATACCATCAATGCTACCTGCAGAAGATCCTCTGAATCCAGCGGGAAGACAGACACTCCAACATTAGTGTCTTCTTACAAGCAAACATCATGAGCATTGAGGTGATGATCATCCAACATCGATTTTGCTGGGCCACCCATGGTATCCAGATGTCCAACTCCAGACTCCCGAACCAAGTTTTATTCTCCCAACTCAGTCAAGGAGCAAGCTCAAAAGGAGGGCAGAGAAAGCGCTTCAAGGGTATCCTCAAGGCCAACTTAAGAAATGCAACATGGACATCAACTCATTGGAGACTATTGCCCATGAATGAAGGAAGAATACTGCAAGGATCTCAGTACTTATGATAACCTTACGATGACAACAGGAGATGAGAAAACAGGAGTGGCAGGAACAGTGTGTTGCAGACCTAATCCTGAATCCAGAGCCAACCACTCCACATGGAAACACGTGCCTAAGTTGCAACAGAGTCTGACGATCCCATATCAGCCTCATCAGCCATATTTGGACTCACAGATATGACAATCATATCTTGGAAGTGGACCGGAAGTACTTCTGGTCCACTTCTGGGTTCACCGGCAAGTGCTCAGGGGACCCCCCCGGCATT